CTTTAATATGAAGCATTCGTACAACTGCAATGCATAAGGACTATAAATATTTTCAAGTAATTGATAGTTTCTTTTTTTCATTTAAAGGGAAATCCTGTTCTCCAACAAAAAGGATTTGAGAATTAACATATACTTCATAATCCTCATAAAGCGGAAAGAAAAACCTATGTGACATATGCACAATACACTAAATGAACACAACGAGTAAGAAGTGTGGCAAGCTAAGGGCCTGTTTGGTATTCAACTTGAATCCAACTTTTTAAACTCAAAAACATAATTTGAGTCCAAAACAAAGAAAACATGTTTGGTAGCTCTATTTTTAAAAACTCAAACTCAAGAAAAATTAAAAAACACCATAATTATTAAAAACAAAAAATATGTGTTTTTTCAGTTTTTTTTTCCAACAACCCACAAGTTCTCAAATTTTTAAGATTTGAAAACAGTTTCCAGTTGCATACCAAACAAGTTTTTGAATCTTAAAAATAGATTTAAGAACTCCTTGTTTTTAAGAAAAATCAAAGTTTTTGAATTCCCTATTTGAATAGGATACCAAACACCCCCTAAGGGCATTTTGGTATTCTACTTGAATCCAAAATTTTAAATTTAAAAACATATTTGAGTCCAAGACCCAAAAAAATTTGTTTGTTATGCTCAGTTTTGAAAACCCAAACTAAAAAAATACATAAACACTTCCAAACAAAAAGAAAAATATGTTTTTCTTTATAAGCATTTTCTAGAAACAGTTTTCAAGTTGCATACCAAACAAGTTTTTGAGTCATACAAAATGGATTTTAGAACTCCTTGTTTTGAAAAAAATAAATTTTTTTGAATTTCTTACTTAAATAGGATACCAAACGCCCCTAAAAGAAAATGACTAGCTTGCCACGTCATAGACTCAGAGTGAAACAATTTCAAAAAGAAAATATAATACATAAACCGTGGTGTAGCGATCTCCAAAATCATTTGGACAGTAGTTGACTTATCTCTTCTCTATTTTTTTCCCCCTTCTTTACATGATGACAATGGATAAAATCATTTTATAAATAATCGCATATCCCCGTTTTGAGCAAAGCAAGAGAGCAGATATCGATACATCATTCATGCATGCGGACAGTAATAGATATATATATTATTATTAATTCATAAATAATAACTACTCCATTAATGTGAAAAGTACAAATCACCACCTGAGTTTTAAATTCTAATCCAGTCAAAAGAACTCAATAAATTAACTTTAATTAAATAAACGAAAAATAATTAGATAGAAGAAGGAACCCTGATTTCATATATATAAAAAAAGTATATATATATATATATATATATATCTATAGAAAGGTGGATTACTATATATATATATATACATATGTGTACATAAAAAGGTATAATACTATATTAAAAGGGGAGATAAAGACTGTAATTCTTAAGCATATTTCCTTGACATGAAGAATAAAGTGGTGATTAACGAGGTCAGAGTTGGAATGTTGTTGTCTGGTTTACCTCACGATAAAGCTTCCATAGGTTTGATATTGATTTAACTCTATCTTATCTAGATGTATATTGTAAATGATGAAATGTATCTATAATTATATATATACGAGAGACGATTATTAGGATCATCAACTTTCTCTTTATACAAGCAATATTCGGTGAGGCAGAATCAAAACTCGACCACTCGACCAATTAAAGTTTACAAAAGCACAAGTGATACATAAAAACCTATACAATCCCTACAACAACCAACAATAAAAACACAAAATTTTGGATCTAAACACATCCGAATTTTAATTGTTAAGATACATGAACCATATTATTTTAATGAATTAAAATTTTGGAAATATCTGGTGCGTGGTGAAAAGGAATATTATTTTGCATGTTAAAATATGTGATTATAAAAATACATTTGGTTTATAGGGTAATGATTGACGGTGAAAACCAAGCAAGAGGGAGGGGACAGTTCACGTGTAAAGATGCAGTTTCATAAAAGGTTGGTGTTTGGTAAACTAATCCATACTTTTATTTTATTTTATTATTTAATATTTCTATATTTTTCTATTTTCTATTTCTTATTTTTATGGTATGAGAGAGAGAGAGAGAGAGAGAGAGATCTTTTTGGACGAAAGATCTTTTGGTAGATGGTAGATAAGCGTATTGAAGGCTCTTACATGGTATCCTATGCTGCTATACCATTATTTATATCTATATAAAATGCACCGTTTTGAGCGTTTGAGAGAGAGAGAGAGAGAGAAGATTTGCTGTGTTTTTATTAGGTGTATATGTGTCTTCATGTCTACGCGCACATGGTGGAAGTGAAGGAGCAACATGCCAACATGTCTGCCAAAACAAAAGAACAACATGCCAACAAGGCACTCTACAAAGACGAGGCCAAAATTTTAATGGTACCTAAAAACCCAAAACCAAAAATTATTTTATTATCATTAAAAGCTACTTATATTGGTAGGTTCCATCTACCATCAAAATAAAATATTTGAAAAAGTTGACGATTTGGTGGCCAAAAGCGCCATGTTTTTTATTTTTTTATTTTTTTTTAATTTCTAGTTTTTAGACGGAGGCATTATATGATATCTAATAAAGAAGTTGTCCATAAATTGGAATAAATGCACTCCGAAATTTAGATAGGTATTTCATAGCACTTTCACTTCGATTTATATGGTCAAGAAATTATATATATATATACAATATAATATAAAAACTTAGTGAAATGAGATATATTTGTATCTGTTTGATGTATTACAGGTTGTATTTTGATGTATTTTATTATTGAATATGGGAGTGATTTCGGTTCGGCAATTGACTCAAAATGACAAAACCGCATACCAACCGAGAGGGTGTGGTATGGGTTAAATCATGACCACCCCCGAACCACCAAAGGGCGGTTACTGAGTGTTTCGGTGTTTGTCGGATGCCGTCATCTTTGGTCAATTATTGCCACCACCAACACCACAACTAAACCCATCGTCATCTTCGACTATCCTGCAAACAAAGCAAACCCATAACTTAAAAAAGAATACTAAGATCCATAAATTCATCATGGATTAATCCCAATTCTTAAATCCTAGTCTAACGGCTATTATTAATACAAGTATAATTTAAAATATATACTTAACTAACTATAAAAAAAAAAAAAAAAAAAAAAAAAAAAAAAAAAAAAAAAAAACTAAGCTCATAGTATTAAATATGGATATTATGCCATGCATTTCCTTTCCAATTTTTTGTGATAAAATAATAGACACAATTGACTGAGTAAACATCTTCTAAAGTTTCAATAAAAATTTCCAAGTTTTTCTCACAATTTCCGTAATTTTTATTCAATTTTTATCGATATCGATATTTCCATCCATATATCCGTGTTTAAGGACCATCGATATTTTCAAAACTCTCGATATTTTAGACCTTGCTTGGGCTAGACAGTGTGTAGGTCCATCTTTGATCATAAAAACCCATACTCATCAATTTTACAAATTCACCTTAGTTAATTATGAATATTTTTTTAACTCCTAAATATATTGGTAAACCACTTAATTTAATATATATATATATTTTTTCATATCTCAATTCTTTTTGGAAAGTTAAAAAGATAATATAGTACATATGTTAGTCATACATCGGTTGTGAGAGGTCTTCAGGGATGGTTTGGGCCATATTTTTCTGCAAATATAGTTATACTTTGGGTTGGTACAAAAAAAAAAAAAAAAGAAAAAAAATAAATAAATTGCGGATTATTTAAAAAAGCTCACCACGGAACACGAATATCGTGCGGTTAGCCAAAAAGCAAAAAAATGAACATGAATATCGTGCCATACCCACCTTTGGTTGAGTGTGGGATGCACTCTCCTCCAGAGCGCGTTGATTATAATTTAAGCTTTAGAATTACGACCTTTTGCCATTAACGTAATATTTACGTTAAATATGTCGATCCAAAACAAAAGGGAAAAATAAAAATAAAAAAGACACAAAAAAAGCAAGGAGAATGAGATCTGATTCATGCAAGGCCTTGGCCATAAAACCTCACAGCTTCTCGCACAACTAAATTAAATTTCTAATTATTACATACCTTTGTTTTTCTTCGGTCGATATATCTTTTACCTCGGTTTTTTTAGAGTATGTGTACTTATTTAGAATGGAAAAATAAGAAATCGGAAAATTTAGGAGCAGAGAAAGTAAGTTATAAGTAATTGAACTCGTATATTTTTAATAACCGTAAGAAAGTTATGAATTAGAATATCTTTATTTCTTCTCATATCCCTTTCCGATAAGTAAATATGATATCAATGCACAAAGTAGTAACATGTATGGTCCAAGTATGTAACTCATAGTATTCATTACGATATTAACACATTACCAAAACTTTCATAAGTATAGATAGGAAACGACAATAATGTTAACTTCAATCCCAAATATCTACCCAAAAAAGAAATTAAAGATCGACATTGACATCACAGAAATGGTGATAACCCTAAGCTCATCATCTGCATCTCTAAGCTGCCTGCATATACTTGTTGGTTATTAATTCAAATTTATTACCCAAAAGGACATCCCATAATCACTCCTCCCAGCTCAGCCACTCAAAAATAGAAACAAAAGGATATCATACGTGTCTAAATTTGTACACCCGCAATTATTTCTAAAACGCATGTAATCTTTTAACTGGATACGTGTCTCACGAAGAGAGGGGAGGGGGTAGGGGTCATTTTCCTAAAGGAAACTGTGGCGCTAGTAGCTGAGAAGATAGAATAAAAGAAGCAGCAATGAGCTTTCTTTGTTTGTCTCTCTGCTGTATTACCTTCAAACGCACGCCTTCCCACTCTTTAACACGTTGTGATGAGCCCCCTTTACCCTCCCCATCCCAAAACCATAAATATATAATAGCCCCACAAAAAAAACCCACATCACACCAAAACACCTCTCTAAAATATATCCATTTTTCTTCCTCACCATCTCCATCTCCATCTCCATCTTCATCTTCATCTTCATCTTCAACCATGGCCACTGGTCTAGACTTCTGTCAAGACCTCCCAAATCCGAGATTCCTCACCATCAAAATCTCAACCCCAAAAGCCCAACAACCATTATCTCTCCATGACCATGATGCTCTCGATGAGGTCGTTCACGGCTGCCGCACGCCAACATCCAAAGAGCACAAAATTCCCACGGTTGTTACATGCCCGCCTGCACCGCGAAAGCCTGCCAGACGGGCGGCTTCCTCATGCAAGAGGAAGCTGCAATTCTTCGAGACGGCGAACCAGGATGAGGTCGAGGACTTTTTCAGATCGAGCTTTTTGATTAATTCTCGTGCCAAGAGGAGCTGCCCCTGTACATAAACAAAGCTTCCACCGGTGCCAATTCAATTGAACGGGAACGGAACGGAGTATTAATTACTACACCGTTTTTCTTCTTCTTCTTCTTTCATAGTTTTTGGTTTCTGGGTTTATATATATGGGATTTGTATGGTTCAAAACGTGAAAATTACGTTGATATAATTTGTATTACACGGTGGCTGATAAATTCATGCCGGTCGGTTGGGGAAGAAGAGAGAGAATTTCCAGGTTATATATTCAGAGAATTGGATCTGAATTATATATATTTGTATGCCCTTCATCAATGTTCATGAGAGTATGAATTACATTCCTCCATAACCAATTGGTTTGTTTTGTTTGTACATGTTCTTTCTTCAATCAAGTGTTTTTCATTAATTTGATTTTGATCATTTCGGGTTCGTGTTCTTCATCTTCCTGCTGTTTCTTCTTGGTAGTTTTTTTATTTTTTATTCAAAAGCATGATCTGCGTGGGGGGAGATGGTAGATGCGGGGTCGGTGTGATGATTGCTTGTTTGAGTTGGGTTGAAGGAAGGAAGATGACTTAGATTAATCATATAATTAAGGTAGCTTTTGATGGGTTTATTTGTTGCGTAATTAAATGGTTATTTGTTGGTTAAGAAGTTGGTTGATCTGCCCGACGTTTGACATTTTACACGTTTGAGTTGAGTGATTGACACGGCTTTGGGATCGACAAACTTGATTAACTAGCCTCTGTTTTTTTTCCTTCTTAAGTTTCATTTTTCTTTGCGTGCCTGAGAGAGAGAGAGAGAGAGAGACTGGCGGAGAGATTTGTACCCTTTTACAATCCCAAGAATGATGCAATATGGGATGTCATAAACAATACTAGTATAATTCAATGTATTTGTCTTTTGTCTATTTTGACAAATCACAAATCACATCATTAATTTTACTCTAGGGTAATTTCCCTCTCCCTCTCTTCCCATCACTACACCCTACTTCAATAAAATGCTTATAAAACATTAATTTTACTCTAGGGTAATTTCCCCGCGGATCCCTTTGAATTTTGGTGTTCTTCCACTTTTGGTGGATTTATGTCGATCTACTCATCTTTTTGGCAGATCTATTATCTCAGATTTGGGCTCGCTCTGGTTTTGCCTCATCTTGTGAGGCTGCTTTTTGAGGTGCGGCCTGGTCATAGTAGATTTATTGCTCAATGGTGCGTTGAGGCCCTAGAGTAACTAGGTGGCGCTCTCTATGTCATGTCCCGAGGAAGATTAGCGGTGATTGGTTTTCCTTTTGACGGCATTACTTTAGTTTTTTTTTATTTTTATTTTTATAAATATTTTGAGTGAGTTTGTTCAATCAAGTCCAAAAACTCTATGAGTTTTATGTGTTTTTTCTCTTATGATTCCAGAAACTTAGTTGAGTTTGTTGGGTGATTTTAGTCTCTTTAGGAGAGTCATGCTATTTAGAAGCTAGTTTTTGTCCTTAACTTTATTGGACTAGATTCAAAGAAATTATGGTGGTTGAGAGAAGTTATAGAAAAGTTATTTTCGAGAGTGATTCTCTCCAGATCATTTCAGCTTTTCAGCTGACTTAAGTCACTAGGAAAGTTTTACCCATGTACCCATGTATGCCTTATTGTTATTGGAATGGCTCCCTATACAGTTGTAGTAGTATTGGTAATTTATGCACTGCGGTTCATGTCTGGCTTGTTCAAGCTTGCGGCCTTTATGCCGAAATTTCTTTGGCCTTATGAGGCCAGTACTGGATACATCTTGTGGCCTTGATGTTGCCTATGTGTTTCTATGTATATGGATTAACCATGCGTGATTACTATGCTTCTATCTTTGTATTAACCATTTGTGCATATTTTTACTAGCTCTTGTGGCTTATAGTATTTGTGCCTAATTTATGAATACAATCATCGTTTTTCTTTATGTATATAAATATAAAAAAACAAATCGATATAGAGACTACTTCTACAATTTAACCTTAAATTTATATAACTTGAAAATGGAACTAAGCTTCAACGCATTCATTTAAAATACTTCATGGCAATGTAACAAAAGCCAAACAATAATTTCCCGATTTCTACTTTTTCAAATTTACGGTAAACTTTCTGTGGCCTGAATACTATAAATAGCTTATTTATCTATTTTACACCATCAACTGATTACTGATGGTTATGTTGTGGAAAGGCTCGAAGAAGAAAGTTGGAATAAATGACATTATGGATGTACTAACATCAATCAGAGAAGGAATCCCACTGAAACCGGCTAAAGAACAAGATGCCCAGAATCTGAAAGAAAATAAACCCCAGCACACCACGACTGACGACGAAAGAGGACAAACTAAGACCTAGGACAACACATCAGAAAAACCACAAAAAGACAACATGGACGGCTGACGGCTCATAAAGCTAAGGAGTAGTGAATAATTTAATTAAGTTGGTTGATAAGGCATTAATGAGTAGGAATATTCCCCATCAACAGTACTAAATTGAATAGAAAAAAAATTAAAGGGACACACAAAGGACACACAGTGCAATCTCACACAACATAAACAACACAAACCCAAAAAAACAACAGACAGGCACCCCGAAAGCGTGAATGTTCGATCTTCTGCTTATTTTGAACATGGACCAGCCCTAGAATGAGAGGTCGCTACGACTTGAACAAAATAAAACTACAGAACTCCGAAGTTTCAGAACAGGTCAAGGCTGGCAGCAGACACACAATCACAAACGAACAAAGAGACTCACCGCATGAAACCGCCGGGAAACAGGACACGACCAGAACGAGAGCCGAAACACACCTCACACCCACTGCAGGAACTCACCAAACACGCAACACAAGAAGGAAGTAATAATCCACAAGAAGAGAGAGCTTAGATTATAAGCTACTCTTTGGTCTCATAATTTTGACAGAATAATTAAAGGGCTTACTTTAATTTTTGAGAGGGAGAGAGAGAGAGAGAATCAAGGCTTTTATCTTGTAGTATTGGTTTCTATTTAGGTTTGATTTACATAAATAACGATGACGATATATATGTATGTGTATATATAGTTCTTCTCTTATTCGGATGTTTGGATTTTCTTACCTTACGAACACTATTATTGTAGCTATATTCCTTACATTTAAAATTTGTTTTGTATGCTCATTGCTGCTCGTTGAAGCATATGAGTATAAAGGACAAGTAGGAAAACTGAGAAAGGATTGAAAAAACAATAATATTCGTAGGATAAGAAATTTCAAAATGACAAGAGAAAATGTGTAAACTTAATTGTGATGAGTTCGATACTTAATTGTGGTTTATTGGCCCTTCCTATTATTTTGTACATATTCCATCGTTTATCGAAAAGATAGAGAGAGAGAGAGAGAGAGGATAATGTGTACCAGAGATTCGTGTAAGAAGGGTGGGTTGGTTAGAAAGGGAAGTTCTGCTTTTAGAATTGTCTAGCTCTTCAAAGTGTAAGGAATACTCTGTGACTGTCCAATCAGACCAGTACATAAGATTAAGCAGGGTCACTGTCCAGGACAAAACTAGGAGGGGATCACCATCGGGAGTTGAGCAAGCACATATAACAGCCATCCATCAGTATTAATTAATATTCGGGTCAATTACCCAAACACAAAAAGTATTCTTTTGATAAATCTTCCCTTACGCCTACTATTTTATATGGTGGAAGAATGCTTGAAATAGTCGTTAATCCTTTCCCCGATTTAGTAAAATATACGCTTGTATTAACGGTTGATAATCGTCTATATATTTAAATTATTTTATATATTATTATGATTCTTTAATTTTAAAATTAAAATTATATCGAATCATGGTAGAATGTGCACTCTTGATTTGCAGTTTGACAATAAGATATCCTTTTTCTTTTTCCCGAGAGGTGTACTTACTCATTGTTGTAAATTATGTATTTCTTGTCAGATACTCAAGCATGTTATACATGGGAAAAAAATATTTCAGCCATGATATACTTGGTTAAGGTTAGAGGCTCAAAAATTTTTAATTTACAAACATGTGGGTAGAACTAAAATTTTATATTTTTTTGACAAAGCTTTGAATTCTTTAATTTTAAAATTAAAATTATGTCAAATTTGTTGAAGAATATAAGTCCCACATCAGAAACTTGACTAGGTAAAATATGATATATAATGAATGGTTTCACTACTAAAATCACCGAGACCTTTTGTGATAAAATTCTACACCCACTGAATTTTGTAAGTGGTTAAGTTGGGGATAATATCAGTGTTGTTAATAGTGGACCGCTAACTCATCTCTCTGAATTTAACAAAATTATAGTAGAATGAGCACTCTTGATTCACAGTTTCACAATAAGATATCTCAAATTGTTTTTCGAGAGGTGTACTTACTCATTGTTGTAAATGATGTATTTCTTGTTGGATACTCATGTTATACATGGGAAAAAAATTATTTCAGCCATGATATACTTGGTTAAAGTTAGAGACTTTTTTAATTTTATGTTTTTTTTTTTTTTTTTTTTTTTTAATAATAATTTTTTTTAATTTCAGCGTGAGATTCTATAATCTCAATAATAAAATCAATTCTCCACTTGACTTTATATTATTTGACTTTCAATCGCAGTTGTGTATGTAATACGAAATGCAACTTGTTCTTTTTGTATAATTTACGGTTTAAAGAATACAAATCATTGAAATAAATCAGTAAGGAAATGTGATTTGTATGGTTCATGAATGCATCATACAAATTCATCCCCTTCATTTATTTTGTCCAACCATCTCCTTCCATCAATACAACTAATTTGTGTTTTAGGCCGGCCCCACTTGAAAATGGCATACTGTTCTTTCCTGAAAATCCCAAAATGAAGGCACATGCTTTGTGCGGAAGGATTCCATTTTCCTGGATTTAGCAAATGGCTCCGAAGAAGGGTCATTGGATTCCTTGTTAAAATAATAAGAAACAAACAAAAGAAGAAAATAAAGGAAGTACCATTATATATTTACAATAAACGATAGGATATTTACAATTACTTTTACAACGGGCTAATA